TTCTAAGTCAATATACTGCAGTATTTCCTCTCTCAATCAGTAGAAAATATGGTTAACACCCGGTCATGCATGAAAAAAAAATACCGTCATGTATCGTGAAACCGGTATAATTTTGAAAAATACCGTGATATAAATGTTTGGTCATACCGCCCAGCACTACTGTATATACTGATGTGTCTAAAGACCCTATCTCTGGCAGAACAGCTGCTGCAGTATTTATTCCAAAGTGTCAAACTAGTATTGTGTTTATATCGAGCCTTGCAAGTGGAGTAAACTCATGCTAAGCTAGCTAAGCAAGCTCTTAAACGCACAGAAATAGATAGTCAAGTGACTCTTAGCAAAAATGAGGTTAAAGGGAAAATTAAAGAATTCATAAACTACAAATGGCAAGAAGTATGGGACTGTGGGCAGACATATGTATAATAGTCAGCAGCAAGTAGGAAATGGAAGAAGTGTTTTTAGGAATAGGAAAGAAGATACAGTTATTTCTCTGTTTAATATAGGAAAACATGAATACATACATGAAACAGGTCAATGTATTTATTGTAATCAGGCAGAAACAATAGTGCATGTTTTCATAAAATGTAAAAAATATGGAAAAGAAAGGTTAAAACTCAAGAAGGAAGTAAGAAACATGGGTGTTGAATCATTTAATTTGACAAGCCTTTTGAAAGAGCAGGCAGAACAAGGTAAAATATATGGTGCTATTAGGGCTGGACGATATGGCCAAAATTTATATCACGATATATTTCTTAATTTCGGTCAATACGATATAATTCCGATATCGATATGAACACTATTTATCTGAAATAGAAATATTTTGTAACATTATAAATGCCTTTATCATCACTTTTGATCAATTTTAAGCATCCTTGCTAAATAAAAGTATTAATTTCTATAATTTCTTTCCCAAAACAGCAATTTTAAATAGTAAAAATATTTCAACATTTTACTGTTTTTGCTGTACTTTGGATCGAATAAATGCAGGCTTGGTGAGCAGAAGAGAGTTCTTCAAAAAAAAACAAAAAAAAAAAAGTTAAAAATCTTACAGTTCAAAAACTTTTGACTGGTAGTGTAGGCTGATTATTCTTATAGATTGAAACAAATGTGCTTCAGCCAGAAAAAAGGGTATGAAAAGTGCTCCGAGTCGCTGCAAAAAAAAAATCGAACAATAACAAAAACTGGAAATGTTGCTGGAGACCAAGGTTATTATTTCAGAGATACATTCATATAAAACACCCGCGCCGTGTTATGATTTTGAAACGTGCAGTGCTCATGTTTATTCAACGAGGTCAAAAGGCACAGATAAATCAATGTATGGGAAACTGGTAATGTATATCGAAATATCGGAAATGTGTTTAAAAATCATATCACCGTTATTGAAAAAAATTATATCGCGATACATATATTGAATTATTGTCCAGCCCTAGGTGCTATTATAAAATATATTAAAGAAATAGGATTAACCAGGAGCATTTATTTATTTATTATTAGTAGTGCATCACACTCCAGTCCAGTTGGTGGCGGTAAATGCACCAGAAGTTGGTTTGCCAGCCGCCATAAAACATTATTAGAAGAAGAAGCGGCAGCAGAAGAAGAAGAAGCGAGCCGCCACACCGGCTTCCATGCGAGAGTCTGCGTGTGTTCTTTCGGAAGTGTTTCAGGATGGAAAGAGGAATTAAACGGCCACGAGAAGAAGCAGACGGTGTTCTGCGTGAGAAGCAGGGTTGTGATGCGGACTTCAGGCGCTGGGACGTGGCCGAAACGGTCTTCTATCTGCGCAGAGAAGGACTCGAGCAATGGGAGCAGATGTTCAGAGGTACCGCGCTGATCAATGAGTAGATGACAACGACTAGATTTGAATAATGCTTGTGTTTATTAATGTTACACGATCCGTGTGCATAGCGAGCACTGCAGAGAGGAGACGGAGGAGCAGATCTGCGACATAGACTGAACTAGAGAAGCAGATAAATCTGCCCGATCATGGCAAGCCGCTGTGGCTTTTAGCAGGATATGAGTTCTTGATATCAGGAACTGAATTTACACTAGTTAAATGTCACCGTAGGCTGTTATTCAGATTCAATTGTTGATATCAAGAATTAGCATTTTAGCTAGTGAAAACGGAATTGTTGATATCAATACGCTCGCGCATTGTATTAATGTGCTTTCGCGCTACAATAATGCGCTCTCGACATTTGTCATTAAAATAACGCAATAGTGGCTTGCCATAGCTGATCACACAGAGCCCAAGAGGGCTGCAGACGCCGCCACGTTAAATAAGCGCAGACCCTGGCAGACCACTTTTACATTATGGAGGCTTGTTGTTTATTTATTTGTTTATTAATCTTGTGCCCCCTTCCACTTTTGATTTACTTGATACTACAATTGGGAAACTTTGTTTTGCCTCTGGAGTTGTAAATATTTAGAGCACACATTGTCATAGTTTATTGGAATAGACCAGGGGTGGCGAACGTCAGTCCTGGAGAGCCGCAGCCCTGCAGAGTTTTGCTTCAACCCTAATCAAACTCTGCAGGGCTGCGGCTCTCCAGGACCGGAGTTCGCCACCCCTGGAATAGACTGATGGAAGGCCATCTGGACTTTAACAAACTAATATTTATTGGCAAATAACGTGAAGGAAGTAGCTTAACCTTTCAAATTTGGCACAGATACGGCTCAGAAAAGCATGTTCTTGTTAAATGTACAAGGCCAAAGGTTTGAGCTGTGTAATAGGATGTAGAGTTATTTTGGCACTGCTCTCATGGAAGGAAATTCTGGAAAGATTTGTGTAGATTTATCATTCCTAATATTGACCCACTTTTTCTTTGTGCTTGGAGATCGTCATATTTGGTTTTACTAATATTCCTGCAAATAAAACAAAAGAATCCCAGTCAGCAAATTTCCATCTGGCCCATATCAACAGCTAAAGTGTGGCCCAGATTAGTTTGTGTTCGCCGGCCCAAAACTGGTCCACATCTTTTTAGCCAGAACTGAACCTAAACAGTGCCATAACCCAACCCAGAGTGAGCCAAATAATAAAAACAGATGTGGCTGATATATGGACCTTATTTGGTATTCTTATATGGCTGAGTTCTGTAAAGGGCTGACGGCCCTTATGTGGCCCACATGTGGCTGATAAACCAAATGTCATTATTTAACCATATTTACTAGGGATGCGCCGATCCGATATTCATATCGGGTATCGGCTCCGATAGTGCCATTTTTCTCGGATCGGGTATCGGTCAGAGAGAGCCGATCCAAATCCGGAATTTTTTTTTTTTCGATTGTGCGAATTATTCTGTGTTACTTCTGAAGCCATACGATAGCTTAATGTGAGCTACATATGAATATTTAAGTCCTTACATTGAAGTTCACACAAACTCTTTTCTCCGCTGTGGCTGTCAGTCATTCGTTCAGGCTTTAAACCCTGGTCGCGTTCGGTTACAGCAGTCAGCTCGGTAAAGCTCTCTCCAAGATCATTCTGTGTTCCCATTATACTTGATTTGTAAATGCATGTCTATGATTTTGCAAAAAGGACTTTATCTTCTTGCCGGAGTTTAATGTTTTGTTACTTGCTACCGGGTGTCTGTGAGAACAAAACATGGGCGTAGAAAAGACTATAAATAGTTTTTAACGCACACAGTAACTGAAATTTAAAACTGTTAAAAGAAAGGCTCAATAACTGTTGCACAGATATAATACACTACGCATCAATTTCTCTTCCCTTTGTGCTTTGCAGTTTTTAACGTATTGACACATCAACATTGGATGTAGAAACAGATTGGCTTATTTATTCAGGTTTCTGGCTTCACTAGGTTGACATTTACCCTTCTTCCAGTGTGTGCAGAAATCTGACTCATATTTTTGCACTGCTTTTGCTTTGAATTTCGTTCTTTTCAGGGGTATCAAATAAGCTTTCCAGTGTGCTCTCTCTATCCGTCCACCTTTTTAACTACTGTCTCCCTCTCTCTCGGTCTCTCTGTAGTTTTCATACGGCTCCAGTTCTCCAGCTTTGTCCAACCGCCAGCGCTTTCCCACTTTCTTCCGTACGCACCCGTCAGCAACTCTGCATAATCCCACACGTGTGCGGCTCTTCCAGAAGTGGGGATGGACAAAGATTGCCACCATCCAACAGACCACTGAAGTTTTTACCTCAGTCAGTCCTACATCCAAAACTTTCTCTCTTATTTATCTTACTCTGTATACTCTAGTCATGCTGTGGTTTTCCTATTGCTACCAGGTTTTCAAGATTTATGTATTTTTTGTGTGTGTGTGTTCTGGTGCCAAAAAAGTTTTTGGTTGATACCTCCCTCCTAGTGAAACCACAAATACAATTGCATCTTACCACTTTAAATAGATACTTTAAGATACTTTGCAGAAACGGCAAAAATCCACATAAATTTACACACAACGCCTATTTGGTGTTTAGTGACTTGACATGCTCAGAAGAAGGAAGTAGAATAGATAGGCCAGTGTTATTACTAAACACCAAAATATTCATTGACCACCCGAAGAACTAATAATGAGTGGAAAATGTAGTAAAATCCATCCAGCTATGTGCTCTTCTTGGCTGTGTGTAGCACCTACTGCTCTGCATATCCTATCATTAAAAAAAGATCTTCACAGTTTTTACGGCACATACAGTACAGGCTTTTCCAAAGCCTTTGCATTTCACATGCAAAGAAGTCATAAACACACAGCAACAAAAAAAACGGCATAACAGTTGTAAAGGTCACTAATAGGATGGAAATGGAAAATGGTCAAAAAAACTAAATTATGACTGCTTGTGCAAAAAAACTTTGATGAACGCTATAAGTGGACCTCAGGGGGAAACACTTAAAAAAAAAAAAAAAAAAAAATTATATGCAACTGCACATCCTGCACATCTGCACATTGCAATTTTCTAGCAACAAGCTGTGGACACTGAATGACTTGCCTTAATGCTGTTTAATGCTGGTTTAATGCTGAGATTACATGACATGAGCATGTTTATTTCGCGATTTATCTAGTAGAAAATAGTTTTAAAGGGAAGGGATGATGATATTTGGCTCACTCTGGGTTGGGTTAAGGCACTGTTTTGGTTCAGTTCTGGCTAAAAAGATGTGGACTAGTTTTGGGCCGGCAAACACGAACTAATCTGGGCCACACTTTAGCTGTTGATATGATCCAGATCTGCGACTGGGTCGCTCTCCGCGCTTCCGCTTGCAGCGGTCAGTCACGCCACATCAAAGAGCGTCAAAACAGCATTTACGGATTTAATTTCCTGATAAAATATACATAATTTTAAAGATGAGAGTTTGTTTCTTATCGAAAAGAACAAAACACAAACCTTACGATTACATAATGTAATGTATAGTAATAATGTATAGCCTGAAGATTTATTCAAAAACTTATTTTAAATGCAAAATTGATTTTCGTGCGCTCTAAATACTTTCTTCTTTGCGAGACAAACATTTTCTCCACAAAACTCAGTTCGCGCGCGTGCAAAACGCGCTTTTGCGCGCTCAAAATATGATCTTTCGCGCTCAGAATTGTGGCAGAATTGTAATCCCATACTAATCTGGGCCACACTTTAGCTGTTGATATGATCCAGATCCGTGCCAAAGGAAATTTGCTGACTGGGTTACTCTCCGCGCTTCCACTTGCAGCGGTCTGTCACGCCACATCAAAGAGCATCAAAACGGCATTTATGGATTTAATTTCCTGATAAAATATACATAATTTTAAAGATGAACCTTTGTTTCTTATCGAAAAGAACAAAACACAAACCTAAATAGGGAGCTTTTTCATCATCTTCTTCTTTTTTAACGGCGATTGAAAGAGGAAGCAGAGCGGGAAATAACGGATATATTTTCAAAATTTCAGTAATCCACCAATAGGAATAAGGGAAGACACAAAGCAACCAATAGCATTGTTGAATGGTCTGAGATGTGGACTGCCACTAACCTGCCAGCAGTTTATATGTGTTTTTCCAAATAAAAGCCAAATGTTAACCATAAGTTAACACATTCCATGGTGTGCCATAGCCAAGCCACATATGGCTCTCAGTTGTGTGCAATCATCTGGACCATATACCTCAAAAAAATTGTCATCCAAAGAAAATTCCCTCCAATTCTAAATCCATGGCAAAACATATACGGTTAAAGTTTGGCCCATATGTGCTCAGCCATGCCATACCTAGGCCAAATGTGACGGCTATCAGCCACATTTGGCCCAAACGTTCTTGCTATCTGGGATACTACATTATACATTTAATTTTGTTTTTGGTTCTTAAAAAAGAAATTCAGTTATATATCAAGACGATTTTTCATTCATATAACAAGAAATAAGTTAAGACTCTTTCTATATGCGAGTCCTTTAACATATTTACTTGATTAGCTCTGTGTTTTTTCTGTGTTTATATGTATTAGTGCAGCTCAGACTATACATTGACTATGTCTGTTCTGTTTGTAAAGTTTAATTAAAATAAAAAAAAGCAATATTTGCCCTCGGAATTGATTTTTTGACATTAAATACATTATTACAAGACTGTCAATTTTCTATCTGTTCCAATCCAAAAATATTTAGATCACCTCTCAAAAGAATAAAATAAAAATATATGAACAAAATGCAAGTTCTGGCCATTAGCAATCCAAATAAAGCACCCGCCGCTATATTTCAATATTTCAGTCACTAAAAACAGTGGGACATTCTGAAACGTTTAATGTGAAAACACTAAAAGTGCCTTTAAAACAGTGATATTAAAAGATGGAATTCAGTACACAGCTTATTGATGGTGCGTGCTTTATACAGGCAAGCAAATGAGCCCAGAATATGAACGCA